TCAGCCACTGTTCTAGAGAGAATGTTAGGTGAAGCAGAGAGAGGAGAGATCCCTAAGACTCTAACTCAAATGTTCACACACTTCCTGATCTTTCAGATCAAGCACAGGGACCAAAAATACCATCCAAGATGTGACCTTGACCCTCAGCAGAACAAAGAGAGTATCCTGGCACTGGGAAAACTGTCTTTCCAACAGCTGCAGAAAGGAAACCTGATCTTCTATGAGGAAGACCTGAAAGAGTGTGGCATTGATGTCAGAGAAGTGTCAGTGTACTCAGGAGTGTGTACCCAAATCTTCAGAGAGGAGTTTGGGCTTCACCTGGGGAAGGTGTTCAGCTTTGTACATCTGAGTGTTCAGGAGTTTTTGGCTGCTTTATTTGCATTTCTCTCCTTTACCTTGACAAACAGAAATGTGCTAGGACAACCCTCTGTAATTATTAATCTCTTTAAACATCAAAATGACATGTCTACCTTCCTGAAGAGTGCAGTGAACAAGGCCTTACAGAGTGAGAATGGACACCTGGACCTGTTCCTCCGCTTCCTTCTGGGTCTCTCACTGGAGTCCAATCAGACTCTCTTACAAAACCTCCTGCCCAAGACAGGAAGCAGCTCTCTCAGTAAACAGGAAACAGTCAAATACCTCAAGAAAAAGATCAGGGAGAATCACTCTCCAGAGAAATCCATCAATCTGTTCCACTGTCTGAATGAACTTAATGATCATTCTCTAGTTCAGGAAGTCCAAACTTACCTGAACAGAACAGATAACAGTAATCTCAGTGGAGTCAGTCTCTCTCCTGCTCATTGGTCAGCTCTGGCGTTTATTATACTAAACTCAGAAGACGAGCTGGATGAATTTGACTTGAGAAATTATAACTCTTCAGAGGAATGTCTTCTGAGAATGCTACCAGTTGTTAAAGCCTCCAGAAAAGCTGTGTAAGTATTTTATTCTTAAAAAATATTACTGCAGTGTTATTTTATTGTGTAAAAAAAATAAAAAAAAATAAAAAAATAAAAAAAAATGCATGAAGACTGTAATAGTGCTTTTTATTATTTTCCACTAACTCAACTTCTAACAAATGACTGGTAATAGTAAATAACTCTTCAGTATTATTCATGTCAAGTTATGACTAATTCACATCACTGAAGTGAATTTAAATTATAGAAAGTATAATTTAGTAATAATTGTTGAATACATGTTTGTATTTCAGACTACAGTAGTATCATTGATGTCAGATCTAGATCTTTGCTAATAATAGCACTTGCTGGGTGAAAACCATTAACAAATTAGCAGTTTGGTATTAAAAGTAGAATGATGATGAACTTTAATTTATGTGTAAGTCATTACTTCACTCTGCCTGCTGCATTTATCTCTGTGTGCTGGGGTGAAGACCAACATTATTTGGGAACAGTAATACAGCAGTAAATATAAAAATTATAATGTGTGTGTGTGTGTGTGTGGGTGAAAGACAAAGAGATGTCAGTATTCTCATGTATAATTATTTCTCTCCCAGACTGTGTTGGTGTAATCTCACAGAGAAAAGCTGTACAGCTCTGTCCTCAGTTCTCAACTCAAACTCCTCCAGTCTGAGAGAACTGGACCTGAGTAACAATAACCTGCAGGACTCAGGAGTGAAGCTGCTCTCTGCTGGACTGGAGAATCCACACTGTAAACTGGAGATACTGAGGTCAGCTCACATCACTTATTCACTGTGGACAGCATAAATGTGTAGTTGACTCCTTTGACATCTTGTTTCTCCACAACAGACCCAACACAAACCTAATATATACAAAACAACATCTTTATTGTTTTGAACACACTAAGCTTTAAATACTAAACAGAACAGAATCAAGCAGATGATGGTCAGGAGCTTCAGTTAATGTTCACATCAAACAGCAGTGTCAAGTTTTTTAGGTTTCCCCATTCAGCTCTGCCCAAACTTGATAAATGGCTTTTTGAAGTTTTGAAGGATGCAAGAGGACAACTCATCTTTACTGTTTTTTATTTTTCTTCTGCTTGCAAAGGCTTAGCAAAGCAATAGTCGAAGCAGCACAGTAGCTGTAATTGCAGTAGTAGAAGGTTGATAACCTTTAAAAATAAATACAAACACAAAATATGCATTAATGTAAATAAAGATATTTAAACTAATATTTCACATTCCATTGAATTCACCATCAATATATTTACTATAGTCAATTAGAGCAGATCAAATAAATGGGCTTCATTTATAACATTATAAATAAACTATAATGTTGACAAACTTAAACCTTTCAAATCATGTAATTGTTCTCAAATTTCAACATAAATCAAACATCATCAAACTCAGCATCAATCAGCACTGTACCAAATTCCATCAAACAAAATCTACATAATTTAAACATAATACTGACATTTCACAATTTCAAAGTTGATACTAGACATCAACAGAGATGAAAATGTTAACAATGTTCATACCAGTTGCGTCTTCAGGGTTGAATTTGCGCTGAATGGGTGAAAGTCCTTCGTTTGTCAATGAAGACCTTCTCCAAACTTTTCACCTCCATGTGCTCTTAGAGGTGCACCATTTTATTGTTCCCCCCCTGGAAACACACCCTTACAGGTTCCATCTCAGCAACCATACTGCTCTGCAGGAATTTCTTGACACAACAAGCAGAATGGGGAAAATGTGATCTCTGCATGAAATGCACAGGTGTTCCTAATAAAGTTGACCATAAATATGTTTCAACAGCACATACACACAGGTGCAAACACATTTACAGGTATATAGTGTTTAAAGGGACATTAACTAAATGTTTTGTGTATGTGTGTGTGATGTCATCTTGTATCACCATTTTTCTTCCAGGTTGTGGTTGTGTGGTCTCACAGAGAAAAGCTGTACAGCTCTGTCCTCAGTTCTCAGCTCAAATGCCTCCAGTCTGAGGGAACTGAACTTGGGTAACAATAACCTGCAGGATTCAGGAGTGAAGCTGCTCTCTGCTGGACTGGAAAATCCACAATGTAAACTGGAGATACTGAGGTCAGATCACTTATTCACTGTGGATACAGATCTCTGTGAGTGTGTGTTTTATATATAAATCAATATATAAATGTTATAAACAGAGTTATTGATGGAAGCACTGTCTATGAAGGTCACAGCATAAATGTGTAAGTGACTTCCCCAACATTTCTGTTTCTAACATCTAACATTCCAAAACAAAATCTAAGAGAAGATTTAACAGAACATCTCTAACACAGAATTCGATTAAATTCAATTTTATTTGTATAGCACTTTTAACAATGGACATTGTCACAAAGCAGCTTTACAGAAATGTTTTCCAAGTTTCAAAATTCAACAGTTTGTCATATGTACAGGAAACACAGTACAATGAAATGTTCTAGTTCATCCCAAAGGTGATCAGTTGGCTTGAGGTCAGGGTTTTGTGCAGGCCACTCGAGTTCTTCCAGATCAACCTTGGCAAACCATGTCTTCATGGAGCTCGCTTTGTGCACAGGGGCACTGTCATGCTGGAACAGGTTTAGGCCTCTTAGTTCCAGTGAAGGGAACTCTTAATGCCACAGCATATAAAGTCATTCTACACAATAATGTGCCTCTGACTTTGTGGCATCAGTTTAGAAAAAGCCCACATATGGGTGTGATGGTCAAATGTCCATATAGTGTGTGTGGATATATAATATATACAGTCAGGTCCGGAAGTATTTGGACAATGACATGAGTTTGTGTGATTTTGCCTTTATACACCACCACAATGGATTTGAAATAAAACAATCAAGATGTGATCGAAGTCTAGACTTTCAGCTTTATTTTAAAAGGTTCCACATAAATATGGCATTTACCATTTAGGAATTACAGCCATTTTCAGCAAAGTACCTAAATTTTCAGGGGCTCAAAGGTATTTGGACAAAGGTGACAATTGTAAATATAAACAATTTAATTTTAATACTTGGATGAAAATCCTTTGCAGTCATTGACTGCCTGAAGTTTGGACCCCATGGACATCATCAAATTCTGAGTCTCCTCCCTGGAGATGCTTTGCCAGACCTTCACTGCAGCCGCCTTCAGCTGCTGCTTGTTTGTGGGTCTTTCTGCCTTCAGTCTTGTCTTCAGTAAGTGAAAAGCAGCTCTATTGGGTTGAGATCAGGCGACTGACTTGGCCATTGAAGAATATTCCATTTCTTTGCCTTCAAAAAGTCTTGAGTTGCTTTCAGGAGTCACATCATCAATAATCTAATCTGGCTTTCCTGTTCTTGAATGTTTGCACCTTATTGTAAACCCTCTGTATTTACATTCATGAAGGCGTCTCTTGATTGTAGACTTCGTCAATGACTGACTTCTCTCTCCCTTTTCTTTTGCCCGCATCAAAGATGCCAATGCGTGGATCACCTGTTGGTATCTGGCACTTCAGCCATTTAAGTTCGAGGTGTTCCACAGGCTGGGGTCACAGATGGCTGTGACAGATTTCCTCTCTTGGCGGGAAGGGGGGTGGGTGGTGAGTCTGTGGCAGGCCAGAGTCGGGCAATGGGGGTATGTGGAAGCGGAAACGCGTTCAAGTGCCAGTTTGTGAATTGAGGGCGGAACAGGAGAAGGTGAGTGGTACGGAATGCACACCTGCAGGGAATTGTACTAACGAGTGTTCTGTGTTGAGGATAAGAAGGAGAGAGAGAGAGACAACTGGCACATGTGTGCATGCGTGTCTGTGGAAAATAATGCTGAAAAGTAGAAGAATAAAGAGCCTTTTGAGTTGTTCCAAGCCTGCCTCCAGCTTCCTCATTCCCTACCTGAACTGGGAAGTGTAATATATGAAGTGAAGTGTCTTGTGGCCAAGTGTGGTGACCCATACTTGGAATTTGTGCTCTGCATTTAACCCATCCAAGTGAACACACACCCAGAGCAGTGGGCAGGCTTTTTTGCTGCGGCACCCGGGGGTTCGGTGCCTTGCTCAAAGGTCTCACCTCAGTCATGGTATTAAGAGCGCTGGTCATTCACTCCCCCCACCTACAATCCCTGCCAGACCTGAGACTCAAACCCATGACCTTCGGGTTGCAAGTCCGACTCTCTAACCATTAGGCCACGACTGCCCCTATATATATAATTTTATATCTACAAACTGATAATAATCAGTCAAATAAGACCTGAAAGAGGAGAGGGCCATTTCCTTAACTCCAACAATGTTTTCTAGTCTATAAGAGGAATAGTACGATCAGTGGTGTCAAAAGCTGCAATACGGTCAAGCAACACAAGCAAGGAGTTACAACCCTGAACACAGGCCAGTAGTAGGTCATTTACTTCTTTAACCAGTGCTGTTTCTGTGCTGTGATGAAGCCAAAATCCTGACTGATTTCATGAATGTTATTTCCTATGTACGTATGAGCATAGCTGCTGTGCTACATTTCTGGGATTTTGGAGATGAAAGGGTGGTTCGATATTGGTGTAAAGTTGGACAGCTGATGTAGGTCAAGGTCAGGTTTTTTTTTTTTAATCAGGGTTTTGATAACTGTTAATTTAAAGGATTTAGGTACATAGCCAGTGCCAATGGAAGAACTGATTATTTTTAGAAGATGTTCCATGGTTTCTGGTAATATCTGTCTAAAGAAATGTAGATAAGGGATCTAGAATATTAGATCTAGAAACTGACGCCATAACTTGTGAATTAACTGTCTCATAGAATTCCGTTCTGAGGACAAATAAAATAAACTCAAAGTTTAATATGAACCAGAGTGCTAGTCCATTCTCTTACAGCCCAAGAGTGTGTAAATAAATGCTCAATAATAATAGTCTGGGTTTTAGCAAAACATAAGTAGCCATTCACTGACACAGAAATGGTAAAAGAATGTATGCGGGAAGTTGCTGATACATTACTGGATGGGAAATGAAAAGTCAGAGACAAAATAAAACAAATCTTACAATCAGCTACCACAGTTACTAATATTAAGTTCTAGTATTTTTAATATTAATATTGTGATATGATGTTGCTTATTTGTTAATTTGATAACCAATGTGTCTTCTGTGTGTGTGTGTGTGTGTGTGTGTGTGTGTGTTTGTGTGTGTGTTTGTAATCATACCTATATCATCTTTTCTCCCAGGTTGTGTTGGTGTAATCTCACAGAGAAAAGCTGTACAGCTCTGTCCTCAGTTCTCAGCTCAAATTCCTCCAGTCTGAGAGAACTGGACCTGAGTCACAATAACCTGCAGGTTTCAGGAGTGAAGCTGCTCTCTGCTGGACTGGAGAATCCACAGTGTAAACTGGAGACACTGAGGTCAGATCATCACTTACTCATTGAACTTACACACACACACACACACTTAGACACACTTTGGGGTACTATTTTTGTGATCACAACACAGGCACAGAAAAAATGTGCAAGATCAATGTAATTGTAAAAAGGGACATAGTTAAAATGAATACATTATTAAGAAATGTGTTTGGGTGTGCTGCTGAGATATCCAAACAGATTAAAGAAGCTCATTGCTAACAGTATGTAATGAGATATTATGTAGAGATTTTACACTAATATTTTAATGATAGAAATTCTTTAAGTTTACTGGGAAAAATTACACATATTTTCTGTCTTCTCATGCAATATCTGGAAGCTATTTCCCCTCTGAGTGTCTCTGACGCAGAGTCAAGGAATTATCGAATATAAACTCTATAATAACAGTAAATGTGATGGCTATTTTACATTCTAATTATTTCGTTAAATCTACAATATCTAAGACATATTTCTTGTGAAAGCCTGCTGACACAGCTCCGTCCACTGGACTGGTGCTCTCTTTTTAGTGAGATCAATCAGCAGGATGGTGACACAAATAATTAGGCACAAACCTAAAATAATAGCCAGCCAGCCCCAGAAACTGTCTCACCTCCTTTTTGGTCTTGAGTCTCAAGCAGGCCGCAATCACTGCTGTCTTATCAATTTGGGGACGCACCTGCCCATGGCTCAGATACCCAGATACTGTACTTCCACCCATCCATTCGCACACTTCCTTGGGTTTGCTGTGAGTCCCGCCTGTCTAAGCAATCTCAGGACAGCCCTCAGATGCTGCATGTGTCACTGCCAATCTTGACTATAAATAACAACGTCATCCAGATAGGCAGCGTGCGGATGGAGAATTCTGTCCATGAATTCTCTCCTCTGTTAATTGTACTAATGTGTGGAGTTTTGCTCTCAGGTCAAGAATGTACTGAATTTCACTTTGACTCTCTGAAGGTCCCTCCTCATAATTTTCTCTGATGACATCTAAGACACCACAAGGCTTACGCCCCTATAATAATTTAAATGGGGAGAACTCCATGGAGGTTTGCGGGACCCGTCACACTGTGAATAATAGGGGTTCAAACCACTTATCTCAATTCCAAGTGTCCTCGTGTATGAACTTCCAAATCATATTTTTAAGGGTTTGATTAAACTGCTTGACCAGGCCATCTGTCAGAAGATGGTAAATGCTGGTATGACTTGATTTAATCCCTAAGAGTTCATATAGTTCACGAAGGGCGTGTGACATAAACATGGTGCCTTGATCTCTTTCGGGATCCCAACCTGGGAGACAATTTTGAGGAGTGCCTCTGCAAGAAGACGTGCAGCTTCGGGGTATCGCGTTGTGTAATTCACCAGGACCAAATTGATGTCCTTATGCAGTCCATTCCAATGGCCTGACAAGGTTCATACCAATTCTTTCGAAGGAGACCTCGATTAATGTAAAGGGGTGTAATGGCACTTTTGGCCTGGCTGGCAGATTCACCAGCTGCTATTTGCAACATGCCGCACACCACCTGTGGACATCACCGCAAATGGTTGGCCAATAGAAGCGAGCCATGATGGCTTAGTGTTTTGTCCTGACCTAAATGCCTCACCACTGGAGTATGATGAGCTGCGTGGAATCTGCCTGGAACATTTCTTTGGGACCAATAACTGGGTTTCTTCTTCTTTTAATAATCACAAAATAGGGGAAGGAGAGTGCCACTTTGGGCTGAGCTCACTGCCCAACAATTACTTTCACTTGGTCGAAGGCATGCCTGAGGGATTTTTCTCGTGTCTGCTCCAAAGGGAAATCCCCAAGGGGAATTCTCCTGAAAGGCGGACACTTAAAATAAATAACCTTCCCTTAAAACCTGACGAAAAGTAATTTCAAAATAAAATAATCCGCCCTTACTCAGCAGGAAATTTTAATTCACATTGTTTGCTTTGATCATCCCCACAAACACAATACATAACACTGTGTCGTTGTCATGTCAATGTCGAATTCGTTATCAGACTCCATTTCCCAGAATGCACCTCCACCTAAAAACATGGTTGCCATGGACTCCAATTCCCAGTTTACATGCTCAAGTTCACCTGATTACTGATTACCTGATTACTATTTTGACTTGGATTTTGTAATTTGGATTTGTATGTGTTCCCCAGTCTTTATTTTTAATAAAAGCATTCACCACAACAGTCTCCTTCTCTGCCGTCTGACGGTCTTATTCTCCTTCACTTTCTGTCATTGGTTATTGTAGTTTTGTGTCTGTTAAATTGCTGTTGACGTTTTGTAGAAGGTCTAAATTTGTTACAAAAATATCGTTTTTATTTAGGAGGTGTTGGAGCTCTATTCTTTCATGAGTGCCATGAAGCGTCCACTTTATGTGACTTTTTATGGCATTATCAACATTGATATAATAGAATTGTGATTTGAAAAATTGATTTGTGAATTATAAAACAAATACTCAATGTTTCTGCCTGTGTATTTGAACTTTGCCATTGGTCAGACCTTCAGTTTTCAATTTGCCTTGAATAGAGTCATATCCAGGATGTACTCCCACCTCACACCCAGTGTTCCCAGTATAGACTCTGGATCTACTGAAACCCTGACCAGGATAAAACACTTACTGAGAATGAATGAATGAGGATGTAGAATGAGGATGTAGAATGAGGATGTAGAATGAGGATGTAAAATGATGTAAGTGTGAGAAGTTTTCCTCCTTCTCTCTGCAGGCTGGAGTATTGCAGTATTACAGGTGAAGGCTGTGCTGCTCTGGCTTCAGCTCTGAAAAATCCTTCATCACACCTGAGAGAACTGAACCTGAAAGGTAATAAACCAGGAGAATCAGGAATGAAGCTGATCTCTGATCTACTGAAGGATCCACACTGTAAACTGGAGAAACTACTGTGAGTCACTTAGTTATTGTGTCTTTACACAAACACATGCAGACTCCAAAACTCTATCATTTACACTCACTTATGACTTATGTGTATAATTGATGTTAATGTCTGATCAGTCTGTCCTGTTTTCTCTCTTACAGAATCTAATCTGAGTCTCATACACACACACACAGTACACACACACACTCACACACTGTGATTTTACATGGTGACCTGTGTGTTTGGGTTCTTATTGGTTAAATCTGTGAACACAGCTGCAGCACAGGACTGTGTGCTCTTCCCATGACATCACTTCCTGTGCATTATTGACTACAACAACCTCCTGATACTCGACACTTTTAAACCAAATCTACCTGTACATTGTACCAATACCAAAATATTACATGTCTCACGGCATCTGGCTGAAGGTACTGAGGGTATTTAGTTTCTCTAACTACAGAAAAAAGAAACGTTTTGTACATATTTTATGTCTGTCGTTTATAATATTAAAACTATGTTGTATGTTTTGAAATCACAAGATGGCGTCTCCCATTTCAACCAAAAAAGGCTTCAGAACCTCACAAAGGGAGTGAATGGTGCCATGTTGCCCACTAATATATACAGTCATTGGTGTGTGTGTGTGTGTGTGTGTGTGTGTGTGTGTGTGTGTGTGTGTACACCAGTGATCTGTACAACACTGTCTCCATCTTCTGGCCACCTTCTTCCAATCAATCACAGACAATAAAAATCCATTTGACTTGACTTAATGGATTGAAATGAGTTTTATTCCTTAACCAGTTACACCAAGTTAAAATGTACATTTATACTAACAGCACCTTTCCTAGTTTTATTATTACTGACAATTAATGTATCTTTGGCCTTGGAAGAAAACTTTTTCTGATATCGAATTCATGTATATTGGGACACGAATAAGTGAAATTGGCCAGATAAGTGAATGTT